GAAGCTCTAACAAGAACTTCTGCGCGTGAGAACTCCTCATGCAAGAACTCTTGCATGCAAGAACTCAGAACCCAAGAACTCAAACTTGGACTGCTGGCTCCTTTTATAGGCCGGGTTTGCACCATACTGCCAGGCATATGCCACGTGGCAGGCATATGCCTGTCACGGTCCAGTCTAATATTTTTTCATGTATTTCTATTGAGGCATTCACATCAGCCATGCAAGGCACGTGAATGGCTTTCATGGAAATGCATTAAAGAATATTCAACTGGACCACGACTGGCATATGCATGGCAAGTGACCGTCAGTTTGGTGTGAACCCGGCCTGACGCTTGCACCAGAATCGTCGTGCTGTAACCTGACGCTTGAAGATTAGTATTTGTTTGCACCATGAAAATAAAATTATCAGGTAATACCCCGACACGATAAGTATCCTGGATACGCGCCCCAACTGTCCCTGCATACAATATCCCGACACGATGAGTATCCTGGATACGCGCCCCAACCGCCCCTATATACAATGTCCCGACACGATAAGTATCCTGGATACGTGCGCAACAGCCCCTATCTACAATATCCCGACACGATAAGTATCCTGGATACGCGACCCCAACAGCCCCTATATACAATATCCCGACACGATAAGTATCCTGGATACGCGTCCCAACAGCCCCTATATACAATATCCCGACACGATAAGTATCCTGGATACGCGCTCCAACAGCCCCTATGTACAATATCCCGACACGATGAGTATCCTGGATACGCACCCCAACAGCCCTTAAGAGCGACACAAGAGCCAGCCGTACTGACGGCAGTAGGAGCCGTTATAAGAGCGACACAAGAGCCAGCCGTACTGCCCTAACAAAATTCGGGGACCGCCTATAGGCTTCGGCCGAATAGTCACTACACTCGGCGCAAAGTTATTCTGGGTCAGTTGGCCAACTGATCGCAATCAGCGACTAGTCAGAATCTCCTGGCCGACTTTAAAGTCTCCTGAGAATTGGGCAAGAGTTGGCAGAATCCACTCAGTCCCCTCCCCAGGCTCTGGTAGCTGTCTGATTCGGGGACCGGAATATAGACCAAAAAGCGGACATATAGAGAAGCTGATTTACGTTCGGTCCGAGTCCTCGGCGGTTCCTAATTCAGGCTCGCCACCAACTAAAAATTTTGATAGGGTGACGGCAAATTGGAGCTGTTATTAAGAGCGACACAAGAGCCAGCCGTTCTGACGGCAGTAGGAGCTCTTATTAAGAGCGACACAAGAGCCAGCCGTACTGTCGGCAGTAGGAGCTCTTATTAAGAGCGACACAGGAGTCAGCCGTACTGACGGATGAGAGAGCCGTCCAACACATCTTTGTCAAAATCTAAAGATAATTTTAATCAGTTTCTTAAGTTTTCAAATTTTTGAAGAAGTTAATGTTGATAGAAAGTTAGTTGAAATTTCATACTGATTGATACCTGAAGATATCACGAACGAGTTATACGTGGTTTGATGAGCGGTATTTGTTACTTCAGTTCAGCAAAACAAAGAAGATACCAGGAGATTACCTGGTACTTGTTACCTGGTACTCGTTACCTGGTACTGTTACCTGGTACATGTTACCTGGTACTTGTTATCTGGTACTTGTTACCTGGTACTTGTTACCTGGTACTTGTTACCTGGTACTTGTTACCTGGTACTTTTTACCTGGTACTTGTTACCTGGTACTTGTTACCTGGTACTTGTTACCTGGTACTTGTTACCTGGTACTTCTTACCTGGTACTTGTTACCTGGTACTTGTTACCTGGTACTTGTTACCTGGTACTTGTTACCTGGTACTTGTTACCTGGTACTTGTT